GTTGCACACCCAATATCTCATTTATTCAAGTTTCTCCTCCATTGCAGTTGAAAGAACCTTATTGTGGAATTGGTATCAGTGTTGCCATTTTATAGTTAGGAAAATTGAGGCTCCGGGAGGCAAGGTTCCAAATCCAAGGTCATAGTTACTAGCTGGAATCATATGGAGTTGCCACTACCCAGACACTTTTGACCTAAAACAATGGCAACTTCATATGGTGCAAACTAATATCAAGTGGCAGAAACAAGATCCACCAGTATTTACCTGATTCTAGAGCAGACATTCTCAAGCATCACACAGACTCTTCTTGGCTGTTTGTCAGTTTGGGCACTTATCACTCTTTCCAGTAAGGATCTGTTGACATGTCTGCCTCCTTTAGTGGACTGTGAACTCATGGAGACCAAGACCTGTCCATCATGAATCTCTGAAACACTGCACCAGCCCTGGGCTGTCCCATAGCCTGTTATTTCATTCATTCCCCTCATCTCTGTTGAATTCATTTAAAAAATGAATTCTTAGGACTTTGGATGACAACTGGCTTCACTGTGCATCTTGTATCCTTTGGGGCCATGGAGTCAAGCCAACTCCAACTTCCTTAGAATCGAGACCTGGTAACCCTGCACCATGCTACTTACCTAAGTGGATAACTGCTTTTCAGTGCTGGAATTCAAACACCTGGGGCTCAGGAGGTCTTTGGTTTGTCATTTAGAGATTTCTCAATTAGTTTATGACTCAGGTTGTGCTGGACTCATTGAACTGTAGAGATCAAATGTCCTCGGGAAAAAAAAAAATCCAACTTAAAGCTGTTTCCTGGCTTCTTTCTCTCTCTGACACATTCCAAGAAGGAATTTATGGATGTTGGGAAGGACAAGGGGTGAGGAATTTCTAGAACATTTAAGAACGTCCATGTAAGCAACTCTATGCTTGAATGACTGGGCACAATAAAATTCTCTGGTCTGTAAGCCAGAAAAAAATGTTGGTGTAAGCTGCCTCGTGTGCTTCCAAAATGATGTGGAAACAAAATCATCTGCATTTTTAAACACTAGGAATCAGGCTTGTCCTTCCAAACCTAGGATATTTCACATGCATACCTAACTCACTCAGATAAATATATTGCACAGGCTACGAAAAATGAAGTCATAAGGAACTGATTCTGAAATATGACTCTAGCCAGTGGGAAGTTTTATCTTTATCGAAGAATGAAATCGCTTATTGTTTATTATCCAGCTGTGACCAAGGAAATTTTCAAAGCTTGTTGATTCCTTCCTCTGGCAATGGTCTTTGTCCTGTGGTGAGGTGCCTAAAAATAACCCTTAGTTTATTCCACGCAGCTTCCAAAAGGTTAGCCACCAAACAGCTTGCCCAGCAGAATCTTTCTCCTAGTATGCTAATTTTTTTTTTTTTACTACTTGCAACCAACCCCCAATTTAGACCCCCACATTTGCACTTGTTCTGTCTTTTGGGGACACAGAGACAAGCCAGCTCCTACTTCTCTAGGATTTGTAACGGTGACCCTGCCCCCACCTGGATCCTGGTTTTCCCAGCTACAAAGTAAACAAGCACAGGTCTGTAGTTCTTCCTCCTACAAGATGTTTCCCAGACCTTTCATTACCAGTCATTTACCATAAAGATAAGAATCCAGTGTGTCTTTTAAGGAGCCTCTGTAGAACATTTGCTCATTATGATATTAAGGCCCTACTATCAGAACTTGAGCCTTCATGTCTGATTTAAATCTCCCAAGCTACAGTCTTAATTTTCCCGAGGTCTGTCCTCAAAAAAATAAAATAAAATAAAATATAACATAAACCAGCCAGTTGTCTACATGAGAATAGTTTGCATTCTTAACAGTCATTATTTGCTGCCGAGATTTTCCCTCTCTGGAATAAATATTTTTAGTTCTAGTAAATTGATCTTCACAAGGTTGACCGCCTTGCTCATCAGTGATTTCTGCAGCTTCTTTGTTCTAGATCCAAGCTGCTGCTGAGTTTAGGACTGGATTCAAGGAGGAGGTCAAGCTCCAGCTTAAGCAAAAGAAGGGTTATTGGTGTGGACTTGTGTTAGGTTTTGTTCCCAGGAGGATAACAAAATAGCAGCTACTGTTTAGTGAGTGCCTACTCTGAGCCACACCATGCTGAGTGCTCTATGTACATATCTCTAATCCTTAATGTCCTTGATACCCTCATCATGGTTTGACCCCTCCCTTATAAGATCGTGCCTCAGAAGGTAGGTAGCTTGCCCAAACTACACACCAGGAGTGGCATTTGAACCCAGGTATGTCTGATTCTAAAGCTTAAGCATTTTCCACAATACTAAAGATGTTATGGATCTTTTCCCAATCATAAAACCTGCCCTCAGGCTACCATGAGCCAACACTTAAGAATAACATGCCCTGTGCTGGGCATGGTGGCTCACATCTCTAATGCCAGCAACTCAGGAAGCTGAGGCACAAAGATCACAAGTTTGAGGCTAGCCTCAGCTACTTAGCAAGACCCTGAGCAATTTAACGAGTTCCTGTCTCAAAAATTTAAAAGAGCTGGGGAGTGTGGCTTAGTGGTAAAGCACCTCTGGGTTCAATCCCGAGCATCAGATAAAGAATACCATACAGTGTTAGTGCACATCACACATATGCAGTAGAAATCTTCACCCTACCCACTCTCTGAGCATAATTTCCCTAACTCATTGCCTTGGAGTCTCAACCAACAACCCTAGGGGTGTTTTAGATGGAAATCTAGGTTGTTTAACAACACAGACAAAGGTGTTAAGTGAAATCAAAAGCATTTTGTGGTGAGGCCCGCTGCAGCCCTTCTTCCAAGGGGGAAAAAAAAGAAAGAGCTAAGAAATCCAGAGAAAAGGGTGGGAGCAAAAGAATTGTGAAGGCAAATCTAGTCAGAACAGGCATTCTACTAGACCATGCAGTTAATCAATATTCATCAGAGAACAAATGACAGGGACATAATAGTTTGAGAGAACAGAGTACCCTGCTCTTCTATTCAGGATAATCTTCATTCACTGACCTTCCCTACATCACCGACCCACAGCTAGTTATTTAGGGAACATTTTTGAATAAGAAAGCATGATTAGAAGTGGTTTTGTTCCTAACCATGGAGTAGACATGCCCTGAGTAGTCACTACTTGAATCGAATCGTAGGATTAAAATTAGGATGCGGTGGGGGTGGGGGTAGGATGTTCTTGGTTAAATGCACAGCGATGCTTTTGAGGTCTTTGGATCCCTTCCCAATCCTATAAAAATACTGCTCAGTTCAGTGTTCCTTGCTGCCAAACCTCTCCAGGCATTGCAAAGACTTTCTGTCCTATGAAGAAGATGATCATTTGTGATCAAGTTGATACATTCTATCATTGTGATAAGATCTTTCTGAGATAAAGAGTAGAAAACTTCTTATAGGATTAGTAACCCCAATATCATAGCTTATTGACATCAGTAGCTAACTTAGAATTTGCAAGTGTAAGAAGACCATACCTATAAGAAAATGTCAGTTTTTTAAATAGTTTAAAAAACAAAGAGCAAGCACTGGAGTTGTAGCTCTTGCATAGCACACACAAGTGTTTGGGTACCAATTCTAGCATTACAAAAAAAAAATAAAATAAAGTTCTTCAATAATCTTGACTTAGGTGTACTTTCTGATTAAAGAGGGTCATGAGTGAATTCATGGTTGCATCTAAGGCATTCGTCTGTATTAAAACTACCCAATTTAGCCACGTCTTCCTATTTCCACTCAATTTCTCAAGTGCCTTTCCACTGTTACCTGATTGCCCATAAGGGTCAATAGCCACATGGGTCAATAGCCACATGGCAGATGAATAAGAAAACTTAGGAAAGTCACAAATGTTCACAGTAGCAAAATGTCCTCCATAATGTTTTCATGTTATCCCTTAATTTCATGTTATCCTTAATTTCTCAAGCACTGTAATCAGTTAGATTGGAAACCCACAGTATAAATCCTTTGTATCCTTTCTTTGTCCCCTAAATAATGATGATTCCATTTTCTTCTTAGTCCTATTATTTAGTCCGCTAAGAGTAGACACTTGGTCTTGTATTTATTTCCGCCCCCCACAGAACTCTGATTCTGGGGAAACTCAGCAGGGATTCTGTATGTACTTGTGGGTTGGAGAAATCACCAGAGGCTCATGCACACCCTTTCTGAGCCAGCTGGTGCTGTGGATCTCAGTTTAAATAACAGGTTCAGGAATTCCTTCTCAAGCTCTTCTAAAAACTAGACTTTGGAGGGCTTTAGATATAAACCAAGAAGAAAGGAAACTGAGCATGAGAGAGAGAGAGAGAGAGAGAGAGAGAGAGAGAGAAAGAGAATGAATGCTATACCACCAGCCACATAACTGGAAAGAAGCTCAGCTGGATAAAAACTCAGTTTACCTTCTGGTGTCCTTCAACCTCGTCTTCTACCTCGAGTGGCAGAAGAGAACCAGTGGATAGTGTTAAACTCTGTTTGGGGAGTCCGTAATAGGAGGCAGGAGTCACAACACAGTTCCTGGGAGACTGTGGCCTTTGTATTCCTATAACAATTCCCTCAGATGGTTTGGCCAGTAAATACTGAAGGAATCAATGACCACATGAGTGATTTCTATTTAATACTTGTATCCTTTTAAACCCTGCACTAGCCATTATGGTCTTCACTGTACATAAAATGAAATAAGGAGGAAAAAAAGTCATATAACTTGCCCAAGGACCCAGAGCTCGGTGAGATACAAACTCATGTTGACTTCATTCCAATGTTTGGCACTTTCCTCTGTACCCTGCTCTCTCCTTAAATTTCTAACAGTCGAATAGTGAGTGAAATTGTGCCTTCAAGAATGCACAATGAACTCTTTTAGAGTTCATTTTATACCATCACTAGAGCATAATGAAGAAACACAGGAAGCCCCAAGCACCCGAGATATAAGACCAAGATTCACTCAAAATTGTTCATATGCAATAGGTTCAGTTAGATACTAATAAGTTTGTTGTTTCCTTTGTTTACTTGTAGGAAGTCATTCTTTCCAGGAGATCAGGGACGACCATTTTGGATTCTACTCTGCATTCCTAAATCCCAGGTTCTACTGAGACTGACATCCTAGAGCCTGGGCCAAGCCTCCCTCCCTCGGCCATGGGGGTCCTGACCGGATTATTGCCGGGCATCTTCCTGGCTTTGCTGGCCCTCCCTTCTGAAGGTGGAGTCCTAAAGAAAGTCATCCGGCACAAGAGACAGAGCGCTGTGAACATCTCCCTGCCGGAGGAGAACCAGCCGGTGGTGTTCAACCACGTCTACAACATCAAGCTGCCCGTGGGGTCCCAGTGCTCGGTGGATCTGGAATCAGCCAGTGGGGAGAAGGACCTGGCCCCACCCTCAGAGCCCAGTGGAAGCTTCCAGGAGCACACCGTGGATGGGGAAAATCAGATCGTCTTCACGCACCGCATCAACATCCCCCGCCGCGCCTGCGGCTGTGCCGCGGCCCCTGATGTGAAGGAGCTGTTGAACCGGCTGGAGGAGCTGGAGGTCCTAGTGTCCTCCTTGCGGGAGCAATGCACCATGGGAGCCGGCTGCTGTCTCCAATCTGCTGAAGGTACGCGTCCCCATCGCTTTAAGATGGGAAAAATGATGAGCATAGCAAGACCCATTCCTTGTTTCCAAAGTGGGTTCCCTGGGAAACTACTCTGTCAAAGTGCTCATTAAAAAGATTTTAAGATTAAAAAAAAAAAACATGTGGAAAATGTGGCCCTCTCTCCTGCTCCTGGAGGAGTCAGTGTTGCAAATGTTTCTCACGGGGAATTGTCAGGCTGCAAAGAATTCTCCTTTTGAAAACCTTATTTCATTCTAAGTATATGTTTCGAAAACTTTGGCTGTGACATCTACCCATTCTTGACCCAAAAACCTACCATCATGAAATCCCTGCCCCACAGGCACACTCTCTGGAAGGCTCTAGCCCCTTCGCTGCATTATACAAAGAGGTAAACCAAGGCCCGCGAGGTGGATGGGATTCTCCAGGTCGTGCAGTGAAGAGCTGAGTTAGGTCTTAAGAGCACTAGTGCACATCTAAGTGTGCCTCCAAGGTCCAGTGCTGCCCTCGCAGGACTCAGTCTGTGGGAACTGGACATTCATGTCTTGATAGTCACAATCATGTCGGAAGCCCCCTCAGGGCACCAGACACTGACTTTATT